CGGAGCCCGCCCGCCGCCGGAACCCCCTCCCCGCCGGCATCGCAGCCCAGGCCTGCGGCGCGCCTCCCCCACCGCCCTGCGCTTCCGACGTGCCTCCCCGACCGCCCTGCGCTTCCGGCGCACCGCGATGACGCAGGCGCCGCGATGACGACGCGGTGCGTGCCGAAGCTGTGGGCGTGCCCCTCCCGCGGGCGGGCAGCGTGCAGCTGGTCCCGGCGCCGGGGCCGGGGGAGTCGAGGCTCGCGGCGCGCTCCTGCTGCCCAGGTCTGACTCGCTATTTCTCCGTTATTTCTCTGGTCAGCCCACCTGCCGCTTCCCACCGCTCCTGCCCGACGTGTCTGCAAGTCCCTGCTCGGTCTGCTCCGGGCAGCACTTCCCACCCGGGCCCCGAGTCCGTCTGGACGCTGTTGCTTGGAGGCCAGCGGAGCTGCCCTCTTCCTGGGGCGCCAGCGCACAGACGGGCCCCGCCGGGTGGGTGCCCGAAGTCCACGCGTCGCCCCTCTGAACCGGCTGTCCTATAGGAAGCGATGCTGTCCATGGGAGTTAGGTCCCATTGGGAGCCAAAAGTAACCCAGCATTTGGTACTCCGTCAGTTATAGCTGAGTAATGCAGCTGCCTTCGTTGGTGACATGTCGGGGGTGCGCGTGCACCCCCTGAGCGTGGCGGTGCACCCCTTGCCGCTGACACCTGCGGGTGGTCGCCAGGCCCTCCCGGCCTCCGGGGGCACACAGCATTCATGCATTTATACTGTAAATAGCAAGCGTATCGATTTGGAAAGACTTCTCTGAGGTGACTTTGGACGTTTTGAAGGGCTCTTGGTTGGGCTTGTTGAAGGGGTCTCAGCTGGAGTCTCGGCTGCAGGTTTTCTGGAGTCGTGTCCGCTTTCTTAAAGGCAGTTTGGGCAGATGTTCTCCGGGGAGATGGGCGACGCAGCGAACGTGCTCGCTGGCGTGGCATTGGATTGAGTCGAAACAGGGTGTCGATGTATAAATGTCGTGAGTGCCGCGCGTTCGTTGGAACTCAACACGTCTTAAGTCGAGGGCTGCCTGCAATGAAATGCTACATCAGTTACCCTTTATGAAACGTAATAAAAAAACCATAACAATACAATCGTCCTAAAAAGTAAAAGGATTTCAGAGAGTTGAAGCAGAGGCTTAGGGACCTGCTGCCTTGCCCTAGGAGCCCCGTTGCTCCAGGCGTTTAAACCTGGATTGGACCTAATAGAAAATGTGTTGCAGGGAACAAGCCAGCACAGGCAAGTGCAGATCTTTTCTTTTGTTTGCTCATGTGATTCTGTGAGTCGGCTTTTCTCTTAAAATTACCCACGGATTCTCTTAAATTAATAAGCCCCTGGGGCGTTTCCAAATTGCATTTTGTTAATGCCAACAAACCAAATTCTGCACCCCCATTTATCACGCAAATTCAAACCCGCCTTAGATTCCCTGCAGAGAAGCTGCTGCCCTGTTTGGTGTGTGCAACACCCTGGGTTGTTTGCCGGGTGGAAAAATATTTTCCAAGGGACGTGGTGTAGCAATTATGCTGTGTCTGTTAGCCCCTCTATGACTCAGTTTCGGCATCCGTAGATCAGGGGTAATCCCTATCGTATGCAGGAGTTACTGTCAGTAAAAAAAAATTGTGAGCCTTATGGGAAGGATGTTGTAGCAGCACAGAGCATTAGGGTTGTTAAGAAATCACCCCATTATTTTTAAGATTTTATTTTCTCGGCCCAAATGTCCTATATTCAGTAAGGGGTAAATTCTGACTCGACTGAAGGCAAAAAGAGCTGTGCTGTTGACTCTGATGGAACCCGCATTTGTCCCAAAGCGCTCTGTGGCTGTGAAGTTGGTGGTATTGATTTGTACATCACAGGTTATTCGTGTCGGCAGTCTTGAATTACATCTAATGGGGGGAAAAGTGTACATTTTGCTGCTGGCTTCTTATGAGCACTTCAACAAGAAGCAAGGAGCAGGTGTTTACAAATATTCCTCACTGAGAACTTCTTGTATAATCTGCAAAGGATGAATGGCTTGCATTGCTGCACAGTTTCTTCTCCCTTCCGGCTTGTAGAACAGAACCTCCTGGCATCGGATGTGATTTTGCAGGGCCAGTAAATGTTGCAGGATGCAGATTTAGCCACTGGATGGGAGACTTTGCTAATTAGTCATCTTGGCTACCAGTTGGCTGAGATCCCAATATAGATGTATAGAAACTCCTCCAATACAGCTTTGGTGCATGGGTACCATTATGCCCTGGTTCTGTAAGTAGATTCTTGAAAACACATGAAGGATCTGGGCCTATGCAATGACATTGCAACATGAGATGTCTCCAGATGGGTGCCAAAGGAACCCACGGGCCTTTATGGTTCGCTCTGTGGATGAGAAATACTAGGTATGATTAATTATTATATTATCAACATTTTGAGCAACCATCAACCAAGAGCTTGGGAAACAGATTTGGGTTGGGGTTTTTTTGGATGGTCTAGTGCATAACAAAGATCTATAGCCTTCCTCCTGTGCCTGCCTTTTTACACCTTGGAGAGAGCGCAGCTTTTAGCACAGAACAGCGACAACAGCTCAGAGGGAGGAAGAGTAAAGCCGAGGTCTGTGCAAGGACAAAGAATAGTTGCTAAAAGGGCTGCCAA